CCCTCCTTTTTTTTTTTTTTTTTTTTGATTTACTAGGATCTTATGGTCTACTTAATTATATACCATGTGTGTTAAGCTACAAAATCTTACAGGAACAAAGCTACGATCTGATTGGTTCACAGTTGATCGACCGAAAAGTTTGTCTCCATTATCATTACTCTCGACGATCGTCACTAGGCCTATTCTATGTAATTACAAAAATCAATAATTATTAATGTCGTTCAAGGATGTGCGCTACATGTCGTTTCGCATCGTTTATTTATTTTTTACGCATATCCTACGGTACTATTGAATCTTCTCTCTACCTCGAGTTATGGCTATCCGGTAAATTAGTAAGTTAGTACTGATGTGCGCATTATTCATACAGCACGGCTATGTAGAAGCAGTTAACAGAAAGTCACTCGATTATGTAAACACAGAAAACTAATGCAAATCTTGTGGGTATATCCGTAACAGTTACACTATAATTCAGTTATTCTTGAACATTATAATATACTATATTCTGAAATACGGTATTGTAATTTATTAGTCATTACCTTTGATTAGCCGGTTTTCACTAGTCGGTGATGATATTCGCGCGACACGAAAGTAAAATCGCGTGAACGCATCTTGATTGAACTCTCAAATTTTTGCTTATTTAGAACATTGGAAAATGCCGGCTGTAAATCAAAGACACATACTTGTATTGTATTGATTCTATGGCAATGGGGACGGCGACTGAATAATAGGGCCTACAGAAAGGTCTTTGGATAAGACAGGTTGACGACGAACGTAAGGAAAAGGGTGAATATTTCAAAATGGTTCGGAGTACGGTATTTCGGTTGCGCCCCTCCCTTCCCCCAGTCTTTAAATATTCAAAAATCTAGGCCTATATCTTATTAACCGTTCCTGATTTTCCCCCGAGTTTCCACCCGAAGTTTCTTTAAAAAATCTGTTGTAGAACATATGCCTATCAAAATAAAATCCTCGGGAGCCTGGTTTTAAGTTTCGTCGACGTGATTAAACGTGAAAAGAGTTTGTCATGTGATGTGATAATCAGTATAATAAGCAATGACAATGGCGATTAATTAATTAATTAATTGACGTGATAACTATGATTATATTTTTTGTATATCGATCGAATGCTTGTTAAGCGGGCACTTGTTATATCAAGGCCAACGTTAATACGATCATTTTTAATTTGTTTGCATCCATCCAACATCAGACTTCTCGTACGTCGCTTAAAGCATTTTGTATTATAAAATCTTGATACATTAATTTCCATATTGAAATAATAATTATAATGCATATGATGATAAGGCATAATAATATTAATAATGGTAATAATGCACTATCCAATATCACTATCATTATCTTTATCATTATTTTCATCGTTATCATTATCATTAATATTATTATTATTATTACAAATATTGTTATTATTTTCATCATTTTCATTATCATTATTATTATTGTAATTATTATTATTAATATTATTATTATTATTATTATTATTATTATTATTATTATTATTTAGAATATTTGTTCTTGCATGATTCATCTTGCAATTATTTTATGCCGATATTAAATACGGTAATGTAAATAAAATTAACGAAGCTCCATACATTTCAATGGAGGCTTAATGAGTTTGTACGGTGTGTTCTGTCTTTGTGACGTATCTGAGCTTCTCATAAGACATGCCTGCGTAACAGTACAGGATGCATGAAATCTCAATGCATTCGGCTACTTGGCTTTTCTGAACTGCATGCAGTGGCGGCGACAGAGATTCCCCGACGATGGGCCTAATGTCTCCGACAGGGATCGAAAAGATACCCGACGAGAGGCCTCCAGCTCCCCCATGGTTGAGAAAATGTTAAGGATAGGCAGCTCTAGATGTCTGGAAAAAAAAAATAAATAAAAAAGGAAACGTATTTGTTTATGTTACTTGACTCAGTCGAAGCTCATAACTTATATTTAAAGTAAGTTATCTGTCAAGAATAGCAACTTCCAAAAGCTCATTAAAAAAGGATCAATTAAGTTGCAACAGAAACAGTTCGAGAAAATCAGATTTTCGGTGATTTACAGTTTACTACAAAATTCCTTAAACTAATACCAGCCAGTTATAAGATATAAAATTACATATTTTTGATAAGGTTGTAATGTAGATTAATAATAAAATTCTAACAATTCTCTGTATATTATAAATATTCTAATATTTGTTTGGACATTGACTTAATTAGATTCTTTTAATTTCACCGTTAATGATCTATTTTGCTATTATTTTTATGTATTTAAATTCCATGTCGTAATGTTGTTTGTAATGATTTGAACTATATTTTTGAAAGAGGGACCCAAATAACAGCTGGTCTTTCAGGCCCAGTTGTAAGGTCGGGTTCACCACTCTAAATATAGTTGAAAATAAAAATTTAAAAAAAGCATACGCAAAATAATACTGCAATGCTATTATTAAATGTCTGTAATTTGAGAATTGTTTTTTTCTCAGATCTAGTATTTTTCAAAGCAGTGTTCTTCGACGAAATGTTTGGTTCGTTCCCGATAAACTGGAGGTGAAAGCAGAGTTGCTTATACTCACTGGATCCAGGCGCCGTTTATCTATAATGTGTGAGGGATTTTTTTTTTCAGATTACGTTAACCACTTGTTAGTGAAACTTTGAAGTAGTTCAAAAAAGTTCGCAATTATCAACTTTCATAAAGACAGCTTTGCTGTGTTTCTGTCTACACTGCTGTTAATGTTTTCTTTATAATTGCTATGCATGACGTGTGCCGCCGATGGATAGGCGTAGTTTTTCAAATAAAGTATTATTATTATTATTATTATTAATTCATTTTCGAATAAATTACCAAATCCGATTGGTAACAATAGGTCATCACCCAAGTGTTGGCCTTGAACGAATTTGATTAGTCTTCGGGTCATAACTGGATGTGAATAAAACGCTGAAATCGTTTTATAGTGGTGTCATTCACTTTAAAACCTTAAAAAAAATAACTAAAGAAAGACTTAAAAATATGTGACTATTTGCATATTTGAAGAAAGACTGCCTTCTGATTAAATAATCCGTGAGTCTCACGGTGAATCAGTGAATAATTACGACTATGTTGCTACTAGCATTTTTTAAAGGGTAGAAAAATAATATTTTAAAAGTCTTTTCCTAGATACGATCGACTTTATTACAAAATATGACGCAACACACATGCACTTATTCAAGAATTTACGGTAATAGCAAGCAATATGAAACTCATACAAAATAAATTCTATATCAGTTTTTGTGTCCCAATTAAAATCTTTAATTACAAAAATACATACATATTGCATTTTTTTTTATGGACAATTACATTTGAATATTTCACTAATGAGGTATTGGAAAACATTAAACTTAATTAATTTACCTAAAGATGTACAACTAAAAAAAATCAGAAACAAAGCCTCAAAAATGAAATTAAATTTTTGAGTAGTACCTTTAAAAGGATCAAATAAGTTCATAACTGACACAAACCAAAAAAAAAAAAAAGTTTTCACTGATTTATAGACATTTTACCACAAAAATTCTTTAATTGATTAAGTCAATTTAAAGGTCTACACAAAATAATAAATAAAGATATTATTTAATTGTCTGTTGACTGGATTCCTTTTCATTAATTTTTAATTGTAAATTAATAACTAAAGCAATTAAAAAATGGAATTGAATGTTTTCAATTTTTTAGCTAATGACAGACAGTACATCTTTAATATGTACATATTACTGCATAAAATTGTAAAAAGTTCCATACTAATTATATAACCTGAAAAGCACATTATAACTGCTTTTATTGCATTACCGAAAAATATATATTTTAATGTAAAAGTATTAGTATTCAAATTTAAAAACTGTTAAAAACGTTGTTCCTTTAAATAGGTAATACAAGCTTGCACCTTTTAATACAGAAATCTTATTGCTAATTACAAATTCTAATTTTAATCAAATATCAAGAGCAATTAAAACGTGGAATTATATTGTTTAAGTTAATTAGCTCATTGCAGATAGTATATCTTAATAATACAATTTCAAAATACATTATAACTTGTTTTTTTAAAAATCTATTTCAATATTAATTAGTTATTGAAACTCATATTGACATCGTATATCAAGTATCATATTTGTGATTGTGATCTCTTATTTAAATCATGGCATTACATACATACCAGTTTGATATAAAATTTAAAGCCGGGCAATCATTGATCACCTACGGTCGTCAGCAGAGGCGATTCTGTGGAGAACAGAACGCCACGACGCATGCACAAAGGATTGATTTTAATTACGATCAGTGTTGATATCAAATTTAAAGCCAGGCTCTCGTTGCGCACCTACGGCAGAAGCGCTTCTGTGGAGAACGAAACCCCATTCCTCGCACGAAAGGATCGTTTCTACTGACAATCATTACAGACTAACACGGAAGAACAGTAGACGCCGTCGCATTGCCTAGCGCATTGTCGTACAACCATCGTAAATGCAGTATGTGCCCGGCTTACAATGTAAAAATACAAATACAAAATACGGATGAATCAGTTTATCAGTCTTTCAATTATAGTTTTAAAACCAAAAGACAGACTCATTATTCCTCCAATAATGCCAAAAATGCAGACAATAAATATATTTAGCGCAGTAAAAGCCCAGCTCACTTGATGACGCCAGAGCTTAATGTGAATGAGTGGGGGTAAGATGTATCCCAGGACACACGCTCCAATGGTGCCTGGGGATGAAAAAAAGTAAATAAATTATTAATTAACATAAAATCAAAACAATCAATAACAATAATTAGTTAAGAATAATAATAATAAGAATAATAATAACAACTAGCACTAAATCGGACTTAAGGGGATTATCTTTTGTGTTATTTTCCCCTTAACGTCGTTTTTTTAAATTGTTCTCTAATTTCTCCATTGTCTAAGTTCCCCTTAAGGTAGGTTTTAGTTGCATAATAATAATAATAATAATAATAATAATAATAATAATAATAATAATAATAATAATAATATAATAATAATAATATAATAATATAATAATAATAATAGTAATAATAATATACTAATAATATTAATAATAATAATAATAATAATAATACTATTTTGTATAGCTCATAAATATTTAAAAACTTCTCAATGCGCTTAAGAGCTGTGTGTCTAATTTTAAGAGTAATGACTAACTGAAATTGATGAGTAGTTTAGAGTCAAATTGACTGATGGATGAAGCATGATGTATGTATAATGGTAAATTGTTTCAAAGTACTGGTGCAGCAATAGAGAATGCTCTATCACCATAAAATTGTGTATGTGATGAAGGAATGTGGAGAAGATCTTGATTGGCTGAGCGAAGATGACGTGTTGTGTGTAAGGGCAGGGGAGTTCAGGTATGTATACAGGAGCCATGACATTTAATGATTTGTAAGTAAGCAGTAGAATTTTGTAAATGATCCTATGCCTGGTTGGAAGCCAATGTAGTTCTTTCAGTAGTGGTGTATATTATTATTATTATTATTGTTATTGCTATTGCTATTGCTATTGCTATTGCTATTGCTATTGCTATTGCTATTGCTATTATTATTATTATTATTATTATTATTATTATTATAATAATAATAATTATAATATTGAAATGTTTGTGCAAATTTTCTTGTTATGAACTCATTGACGAAGAATAATGACGACACTGGTCGTATATATTTTGTTCTTGATAATTATATTTTCTGAGCCTTTAATCAGTGATTTTGAAATTTAACAATTAAACAAGCTGTATACTATTATCAATATTAGTATTTGAAAAATAACTTAAATAATCATATAAAAAAAAAATAAAAAAATTTTTGGCTTAGATAGCGCATTATGCTAAAGCCTCAATGCGCTTAACAGTAAAAATAAAATTCTGTGCTTAACAAAAAAAAAAAAAAAAAAAAAAAAAAAATTAAGAAAAATACAAGTTAAAAAGGTGAGTTTTAAAGCTGCCTTAAAATCAATTCAATGGAAGTTGCCTGTCGGATTGTAATAGGCAGAGCATTCCAAAGAAAGACAGAAGCTCAAGAGAAAGAACGACTACCATAATGCTTTGTCGACGGGCGAGTGGAATGAGCAAGTAGAGACTCTGAACTAGATCTCAGAGACCTCTTAGGAATGTAAGGATGAATGAGTTGTGAAATAAACATTGGCGAGGAATTATGAAATTATGATATAGAAACAATAACCCTTACCAACAATACTTCCAAAGTAGGCATATTGGTTTTTCAAAAGGATTGCAATACCAACTTGAATGCAGATGAGAGAAATGCGAAGCATATTACGTTGCCATGCAGGGACCTAAAAAAAAGAAACAATAAATTGTGACAGGGTATTTGAACTACTGACACTGACGACGACAATGCGACATGTCGCCGCTGATGACAATGACAACAACAACAACAACAATAATATATTTAATGTATAAAAACTTAGGCAAATAAAATTCAAATCCAATGGCGTTGGTAGGCAAAGGCGAAACTAAGTTTCTATAACCCTATTGGTGCTATTTATTCTACTGAACATTCAATGTAAAACAATATATAAATACATGCATACAAATTATCATACCACACTACAAATAACCTTGGCTATCAGCCCTCCTTTCTCATCTAACCCCTGTTATGCCCTACTGTATGTAAGTTAGTATTTTTTTTTAATAACTCAATAATATTGCTCTCTGTATGTCTCCCGACATCTCTCTCTCTCTTTCTAATTTCGAGTATTTGCTATAAAAACATTTTACAAATGTGTTTCAGAATGTACTGGAAGGACTAAGTTTTTTGGTTTTTTTGTGGAAATGACGATTAAACCTAAATTACTTTCAATAATTTATTACACTAATTGGAAAATAATAAGGTATTATTCAAATTGATTTAGTTCAATTTGAATTAAACTTTAAATGAAAATCCCATTATTTATTGCTGTACATTAATAGTGACAGGCAATCATAGTGAAGTGGTTCACCACAATGTTGGCTAAATAGTGTATTTCATAACAAACGCTAATGCTACAGAAATAACAATGAGGTAAATTTTTGAATAATTAATGTGATTTTAATATAATTTATTATACTTTTCAGAACTTGTGTGTAGCTATGACTCTGGACCATTAATGAGCCTATCAACCATTTCCTTTATATATCTAGCATATTTTGAAACAGCGCCACCAACGTCTGAAGACTTGCAAATTTTCACTAGGGTACGTCCAACAGAGCAGCAGTAAGAAAACAACCAAAAACACTGGAGGTTTTATGTGCCCCCATTTTTCTTTACTTTTGTTTTCAAAGATTTGGATACTGTACACCAAGGTAGAAAGCGGTATACCAGCCACAAATACACATAAAAGCGAAACGCCTCTGCATGTCCCCAGTGGTAGTTGCCAGGTTCTCGGAAATGGTGGAAATGGTGTATAGTGCCAAAATCCATAAACCAAACGATGGTTTTACTATTAAGCTTTTGTTATGTATGTTCATATGTTCATGTGTGTAAAGAAATAAATTAAACAAACAAACAAAACAAACAAACAAACGATCAAAGGCGCTCTTCATTTTCTCTTTAAAATGTCAAATGATTGGGGCATCCTATTGTCATATGGGAAAGAATTCCACAAAGTGCAGCACATAGAAAATGTAAATATTAATTTACATATTATTTATCCCTTAATTACATCAGCATTTTCATTCAAGTTCTGAGGACCCTAGAAAATAGAGGCCAAAGGAGCCATTATTTTTTGAAGGAAAAAATAATCATCATCATTCCTAAGATTTACAAGCTGCTACCTATAAGCTATTATATAGTTAAAAATAGCAGTTTGCTTCACTATGTGTGAGCCCTTAAGTTGTATGAAAGAAGAGATACTAGTGGTCTTAGATCTGTAATAATTTTGCACAGGCCTCTGTTTTCTGACAGTATGAAATTCACTGAAATAGCAAGAGATTGCATTCCCACCAGAGACCTCTTTTTTCATACAGTACAACTAATAAGGACTTTTCGTTGATGAACAAGTTTGATACGATATATATCATTATCTACTAGTATCTGATTTATATATGTGTGTGTATAT